CCTGCTGCTGCTGCTGCTGCTGCTGCTGCTGCTGCTGCTGCTAGTGCTTTTGCTGCTGCTGCTGCTGCTGCTGCTGCTGCTGCTAGTGCTTTTGCTGCTGCTGCTGCTGCTGCTGCTGCTGCTGCTGCTGCTAGTGCTTTTGCTGCTGCTGCTGCTAGTGCTTTTGCTGCTGCTGCTGCTAGTGCTTTTGCTGCTGCTAGTGCTTTTTCTGCTGCTGCTGCTGCTGCTAGTGCTTTTGCTGCTGCTGCTGCCAGTGCTTTTGCTGCTGCTGCTGCTGCTAGTGCTTTTGCTGCTGCTGCTGCTGCTAGTGCTTTTGCTGCTGCTGCTGCTGCTAGTGCCTGTAGTTCTTTTGCTGCTGGTGCTGCTGCTAGTGCAGTGCTGTAGTGCTTTTGCTGCTGCTGCTGCTAGTGCTTTTGCTGCTGCTGCTGCTAGTGCTTTTGCTGCTGCTGCTGCTGCCCCTGGCGCTAGTGCTTTTGCTGCTGCTGCTGCTAGTGCTTTTGCTGCTGCTGCGTTTGCCAGTGCTGCTGCGGCAAGGGAAGCTGCTGCTGCGAATGCTGCTGCTGCTGCTGCGGCAGCTGCTGCTGCGAATGCTGTTGCTGCTAATGCAGCTTCTGCTGCGAATGCTGCAGCTGCTCGAACTGATTGTGCTGCTTTTAGTGCTGCTGCTGCTGCTGCTGCTGCTGCTAATGCTCGCCTTAATGGTCTTGCTGCTGATTTTTTGTTGCTGTTGCTGCGCCACTTGCTGCTGCTGCTGCTGCTGCTGCTGCTGACTGCAGCTGTTGATCTGGTTGCTGCTGCTGCTCAGACTCGCCTAGCTGTTGCTTCTGCTGCTGCTGCGTTGCTGCTGCTGCTTTGCTGCTGCTGCTGCTGCTGCTGCTGCTGTGCTGCGTAGCTGTGGGTGCTTCTCCTAAACCCTGAAACATTTACAATATTATTTCATTATTTATTTATTTATTTATTTATTTATTTATTTATTTATCTATTTATTTATTTATTTATTTATTTATTTTGTTGGTGAATTCATTTTACAGTTTTTCAATTTGCATTTGGGGTGTACAGACACATCCAGTACAACGAGGCCCGCAATGAGCTCATCATCACATCTCCGGAAGTAAACCCTAAACCCTAAACCCTAAACCCTAAACCCTAAACGCCAATTAATTAGTCATGCAGTTAATGAATTAATCAATTAGTTCATTTATGTGTTCATCTATTTATACTTTATTTATTTATTTATTTATTTTTATTTATTTTTATTTATTTATTTATTTATTTATTTATTTATTTATTTATTTATTTATTTTTATTTTTATTTTTGTAGGACACGGCGCCTCTGGTTATTCCCTGTTCTTCTGTTTCTCTCTCCATGCAAAAGGAGACAAATTCCATTACCTTCAAATCCGGACAGGTCAAACCCTAAACCCTAAACCCTAAACCCCAAACCCTAAACCCTAAACCCCAAACCCTAAACCCTAAACCCCAAACCCTAAACCCTAATCGAAGCTTTTGTCCTCTGCTCAAACTGCAGGGCCCAGAGATATCCGTCACGGTCAGCACCCAGGAGAAGTTCTTCCTTGAGTGCGTCCTCAAAACCCTAAACCCTAAACCCTAAACCCTAAACCCTAAACCCTTCTTGGAGGCCCCGAATGCAGAAACCCTAAGTGCTGCGCGTCTTCTTTCAAGCGCTGGCTTGCTGCTACGTAAACCCTAAACCCTAGCTCCAGCTCCACAGCCTGGGCCCCAGGCCGCAGCCCCGAGCTGCAAACCCTAAACCCTAATTTAGGGTTTGACTCTCCGCGGTCTCTGCAGGCTAGCTGCAATAGCTGGAGCCGGCAAGTATTACAAACCCTCGCCCAAAGAAACCCCTCCGCCTCCAGAAAAAGAACAAGAAGAAAAACCACCAACACCTGAGGAAGACGAGTAAGGGTTTAGGGTTTAGGGTTTAGGGTTTAGGGTTTAGGGTTTAGGGTTTTCGGCTTGTATCGACTATTTATTGTTTTTTTGTCTTTTGGTTTCTTTTTGTTCTTTTTTTTTCCTTTTTGGATTTTTTTGCATCTTTTGAACTCCTCTTTGCGCCTAAGGACTTCTGCTGCTGCCAACTGCAGCAGCAGCTTCTGCATTTGTCCTTTTTGCTTTTATTTTTGAGTTTTTGGAATTCTTTTTTTTTTATTTTTAGAGTTTTTGTAATTCGAGATGGCTATTTGATGCTGTTCGAAAAAGCCGGAGACCCGCAGCCCATTTTGCGGCTGCACAACGCGGACTGCGTGACGCATGCAGACGCAGCAAACCGGGAGTTTGTGATAACTCACAAGGTGCGTTTTTCCATTTTGCTGCTGCCATCCGCCCCTTTTGCTGCTCCTCCGAGCCCCTTTGCTGCTGCTGCTGCTGCGCTGCTGCTGCGCTGCTGCTGCCCTTTCGTTTTGCTGCCAAACGGCGCTTTTCCGCGCTTTCTGGAGCTGTACGTACACCCCAACTCGCTGCTGCTGCTGCTGCTGCTGCTGCTGCTGCTGCAGCTGTACATACACCGCATTTGCTGCTGCGTCTTTCACTTCCAAAATGCGCTTTTCATTTTTTTTTAATTTCAATTAAGAATTGTCCATTTGATGGGAAGTTTCTCGCGAAATAAATAAATTAATTAATTGATAAATCCAAGTTGCTGCTGCTTGCTGCTGCTGCTGCTGCTGCTGCTGCTGCTTCGGGGCTTGAACTGTGGCGCTAAATGGTCTTTTTCGAAGTAGAGTTGCATGCGGAGTTTATTTTCTGAAAAGTTTATTTTCTTATTGGAAATAAATCTTTGTTTGGAGTCGGGGCTAGCCGCTGGGGTGTACAGACAGCTCTCGAGTGAGTGGCGCAATGGATAGCGCGTCGCCCTCCGGAGGCGGAGGTTGCGGGTTCGAGTCCCGTCTCGCTCTTCTCTTTTTGTCTTTTTCTCCTTTTCTTTTTCTTTTTTTTTCATTTTAAATGCCACTAAATGCAATTTAAATGCAATTGGGAGTCGAAAGTGCTGCAAACGGCGCGAAATGGCGCTGGTTCGGCGCTGAAACCCCCGCGAAACTCCGCGAGCGTGCTCGGGCGCCGGACGGGCGTGGAACTCCGTTTTTAAGGGTTTTAAATGCTGGAATTCATGAAAAATGCATTTTAAATGAATAATTTCGACTAAAAATGAACTGATTTGCGTTTTTTGCGGCGGTTTTGCGTTGTTTTCTGTTGCCGCTCTGCGGTGTATCGACACCTCCGTGCGCAGCCGGACTCCCCGGAAGAAGAAACTTACGTGTTTTCGTTTCCGACGGATGAAATATACCAAGGGCGAGTTATTTGACATTAAAACAATAAATAAAACAGTTCTGATTCAATAAATAATTCAAAAAAGAGAAAAAGCGTTCAAAAACCAGCTCGTCGGTTCCCTGGTGTCTGTACACCCCGTGCAGCCGCTCGCGAGTGGAGCCGCTTGTTGCGCCCAAGTGGGCAAATAAAAGCTTTAAATTGGCGAATAAAGATTTTAAATTGAATTACTTTAATTGTGTTTTGTTTTTGTGCGCAGTTGGTACAAAAAACTGGAAGAAAATGGGTTTCTTCGCCGCAAAGTGGACCAGCGGGGCACCAAGGCGAACCAGTGAGCCACTGGGGAGAAGTGAAGGAATCTTTGGCCCAAAAAATGATTATTTTAATTCTTTTTTTGCACTTTTTGCATTTAAATTGCAAAAATAAAAGCCAGAAGTGCATATTTAAAAGATTTAATTCATTTTTCTCTTTTTTTCAGCTTTTCTTTCTTTCTTTGGGGCATTTTTAGACCCTTTTGTTGTCTGCAGACTTTCAAATCCATTTTGGAGCTCTTTGGCTTCTTTTTGCCTCTTTAGAACTCTTAAGTGATTTAAATCTTTTTTAATTTTTAATTTATTTTCTTTTTTCTTTTTTACTTTTTGTTGTTCTTTAACATCTTCTTTTTCCGTGTATTTTCCCCTCTTTTTAACCTTTTTAAAATCCCTCTTTAATCTTTTTTCGTTTCTTTTTTTATTTTCCTTCGTTTCTTTTCTAATGCTTTTTCAATTATTTTTAATTCCTTTTCCACTTCTTTTTTATTCTTTTTAATCCCTTTTTAATTCTTTTTTGAGTCTCTTTTTAAATTTCTTTTTAAATTCTTTTATTAACTTCTTTGAAGACTCTTTTTAAAACTCTTTTAAAACTCTTTTTAATACTTTTAATTTCCTTTTTAATTTCTTCTTTGATTTCCTTTTAAGACTCTTTTTGATACTTTCTAATTTCCTCTTTAATTTCCTTTTTAATTTCTTTGTTAATTTCCTTTTTAATTTCTTTTTTAATCTTTTTAAATTTCCTTTTTAATTTCTTTTCTAATTTCTTTTAATTTCCTTTTTAATTTCTTTTTTAAGCTCTTTCTAATACTTTTAATTTCTTTAATTTCTTTTTAATTTCTTTTTTTAAATTAAAATTTTTTAATTAAAATTTTTAAATTAAAATTTTAAAATTGATTTTTTAAAACAATGTTTTTAAGTTTAACTTTGCGTCTGAAAAGGAGAAAACTTCTTTTTTTCGCAACTTTACGAATTTGAGGTCATTTTTGTTGCTTTTTTGTGGATTTTTTTCTCACTAAAGAGAGTTAATTGAATAGCGGCTCTGCGGGTCTTCAACTCTTTTTTTTTTCCGCTTTTTAGAGTCGGAGTTGTCTCGAAAGGTTGTTTGGAGTTGTACCGCGACTACGGCTCTCCGGGGGCGAAGCCGGTCATTTCGCTGCTCGCCAGCCGCTGCACCGCCACGGCCAGCCGCGAGCGCCGCGAAATCCGAATTTTGCATTCCGTAATTCTTTTTTTTCTCCTTTTTCCGCTTTTTTGACAAAACTCTCCACTCCCGTTTCTCTCCTCTTCAACTCTCTTCTTTCCAGCTTTTTTCCCGCTTTTTTTTGACCCATTTTCGCCTTTTTTGGACATTTTTGGACTTTTTTGGACTTTTTTCACTTTTTGGAGTTTTGGGAATTATTTTTTTATTTTTTGAAATTATTTTTATTTTTTTGAAGTTCCTTTTAATTCTTTTTTGAAATTCTTTTTAATTCTTTTATAGTTTCCTTTTATTCTTTTTCGATGTTCTTTTGATTCTTTTTTGAAGTTCTTTTATTCTCTTTTGAAGTTCCTTTTGATTATTTTTTGAAGTTCTTTTTAATTCTTTTTTGAAGTTCTTTTTAATTCATTTTATACTTTTCTCCTATTCTTTCTATAACTGTCTTTTATTTTTTCTTAATTTTCCTTTTTTATCTTTTTTGAGTTTTTGCATTTTTTCTTTTGTCTCCCTTTGTTTTTTCTTTTTCATTTTTATAATTTTTAATTTTATTTTATTCTATTTTATTTTATCTTATTTTATTTAGTTTTTCTGTTTTACTTTTTTCTTTTTGCTTTTTTTTGTTCTTCTTTTCACTCTCTTCATTTTTATTTCTTTTTTCTGTTTTTCTAAACAAATCTATTTCTTTCAATTTTAATTTAATTGTATTTATTTATTTATTTGGTTATTATTTATTTTTTATATTTTATTATTTATTTTTATTAATCAAAAATTCAAAAAACTAAAAACTGCTGTCTCCTTTTGCCCAGAGCCCTTCGGGCAAAAGAGAGAGAATAACATTAGACTGCGCAAGTCTGGCTGAGTTCGACAGGTAACCCTAAACCCTAAACCCTAAACCCTAAACCCTAAACCCTAGACGCCAAAACCTAGGGTCTACACCCTAAACCCTAGGCCATGGGTGCTGAAGAGCTGCGCCGCGAGTGTCTCGGAAAGAGCGTTTCCACTGACACTTGCGGCCTGCGGCTTTAGGGTTTAGGGTTTAGGGTTTAGGGTTTAGGGTTTAGGGTTTAGGGTTTAGGGTTTAGGGTTTAGGGTTTGGGTTTAGGTGGAACGTGGCGCTGCACTTCGGCAACTTCTTAAAAGGCGAAACAATTCAGGGCAACGGCTCGCAAGCCTATGCGAACTTGACCAAGTAAAAACATAAAACAAATAAATAAACAAATAAATAAATAATAAATAAATAATAAATAAATAAATAAATAAATAAATAAATAAATAAATAATAAATAAATAAATATATGAATAAATAAATAAATAATAAATAAACAAATAAATAAGTGGATAAATAAATAAATACATAAATAAATAAATAAATAAATAAATAAATGCATAAATAAATAAATAAACAAATAAATATATCTATAAAAACCCTTTTTCTTTACTTCCTTCTGAACTCATCAAATAAATAAACACCAAACAACTCAAACAAACTCAAAAACTGCATTTTAACTCTCACCCTCAACTGCGAATTCAACCCCCTGGGGGCCCCCCTTGGGGCCCCCCTTGGGGCCCCCCATGGGGCCCCCTATGGGGCCCCTCTGGGGGCCCCTATGAGGCCCCCTGTGGGGCCCCCTGCGGGGGCCTCTGTGGGGCCCCCGCAGGGGGCCCCTGTGGGGGGCCCCTTTTTGAAGACCTTCTGTAGGGTACCCTCTTTAGGGGCCCATGTGCCCCGTGTGGGGCCCCCAGAGAGGGGGCCCCTCTTTGGGGGACCCCTGGAGGCCCCCTATTGGGGGCCCCCTGGGGGCCCCCTGGGGGGCCCCCCTTGGGGGGCCCCCTGTTGGGTTTTTTTCTGGATTTTGTCTGGATAGGGGAGTTTGTGTATTTGATGAATTTGGCATTTAAAAGGGATTAAATGAATCGAAGAATTAAATGAATTAAATTAAATTAAATTAAATTAAATTAAATTAAATTAAATTAAATTAAAATGATTTAATTTTGATGCAGATATGTCTTCCCCATAAATATGTTCGAAGACGCCTCGGGCCGGAAGTCCGCACTGCTGATTGAAAACAGAAAAATAATGCTCTTCGCAACTCCCGACGTGAGGCCTAGGGTTTAGGGTTTAGGGTTTAGGGTTTAGGGTTTAGGGTTTAGGGTTTAGGGTTTAGGGCCAATGGGTTAGGGTGTGGGGTGCGAAATGTGGATTTGTTATTTCGGGCCTTGCTGCCGAGGGTTTACTGGTCCTGGCTCACTGCCACCAGCTCAGAGTTTAGAGCTTAGGGTTTAGGGTTTAGGGTTTAGGGTTTAGGGTTTAGGGTTTAGGGTTTAGGGTTTAGGGTTTGGCGTTCAGGCCTCGGATCCGATTCTCTGTTTCGACGCGAGCGAATGCGAAGTGCAGCCAGTAATAGCCCAGCGGAAACTGAGGGTTTATGTGAACGTGAGTTTGGTGGAAAGATGGATTAATTAATTCATTAAATTGATTAAATGATCAAATTAATTAAATTATTTATTTATTTATTTTTAATAATCGTAAAAAGGATTAAAATGCCGATTTAAAGATGCATGCATTGAGTGCCAGCGCCTTTGGGGTGTATAGGCAGCTGGGGTGTATAGGCAGCTGGGGTGTATAGGCAGCTGGGGTGTATAAACAGCTGGGGTGCGTGGAGCAGTAACTTCTTGATTAAACATTAACAAATAAATAAATAAATAAATAAATAAATAAATAAATAAATGCAGATTAATAACTTTTTAAACATTCAATTGCGAAAACTCTGCGGCGGATTGTGCCTTTAAAGAAACGAAGCGAAACGCAAAGGGTTTAGCGTCTAGGGTTTAGAACTTGCGAGGGTTTAGGGTTTAGGGTTTAGGGTTTAGGGTTTAGGGTTTAGGGCTTGCTGAGGCTGCTGCTGCAGAGAAACACAAAACAAGAACAGCGCATTGACTTCATCCTGCCCCTCGCAAAGGACTTGGACAGGTGAAGATACACCCTAAACCCTAAACCCTAAATAAGGGTTTGGCGTTTTGAATGAAAATGCGTCACTGCGCTGTTTCTTGCTGCGGCTTTTTCCTCTTTTCCTAAAGCGTTTTGTCTTTTGTTTTGCTCCAATTGTTTTATTTTATTTCTCACGAATTATTATTTTTAAATTAAATTTAAAATAAATAAATAAATAAATAAATAAATAAATTTAATTAATTAATTAATTTGCTGCTTCTGCTTCTCGCAGATATGCTGCTGCCTGCCAAAGAGACGCCTTTCCAGAAGCCATTGTCGGAAAGCCTGTGGAGAGACTTTCCATCCCGTGCGCCTCTAGGGTTTAGGGTTTAGGGTTTAGGGTTTAGGGTTTGGGGTTCGGGTTCTAGGGTATAGGGTATAGGGTTTAGGGTATAGGGTTTGGGGCTTGAGGGTATTGGGTTTAGGGTTTGGGTTTAAGGGTGTAGGGTTTAGGGTTTAGGGTTTGAGGGTTTAGGGTTTAGGGTTTGAGGGTTTAGGGTTTGAGGGTTTCGGGTTTAAGGTTAAGAGTTGGTTTGGGGTTTTGTGCTGCATGCGCCAGGTTCGTCTTGTGCAGAAAAGGACTTCTGGCGGTTTACAAAAGCAAGTTTGTGAGTCTTGCCCGGGGAAAAAGCTAGGGTTTAGGGTTTAGGGTTTAGGGTTTAGGGTTTAGGGTTTAGGGGCGAAGCGGGCAACCCTTATTTAGAGTTTTGGGCTGCTGCTGAAGAAGGCAGAAAGCAACTCTCTAGCCTCCACTGCTTCGCCTTTCTAGGGCCCCGGGCCTAGGGTTTAGGGTTTAGGGTTTAGGGTTTAGGGTTTAGGGTTTAGGGTTTGGTGCAGCACGCGCACGCGGAGTTGACTCTGGAGGTTTCCAAGTACTCTTTTTCGACAGAAGGGCTTACTTACATTTTCACAAGTTCTGAAGGAAAAGTAAAATTAAAAAGAAATGAAAACTTGAAGTTAAAAACAAATTTATTTATTTTATTTATTTATTTTTTATTTTTATTTATTTTTGTTTTTGCTTTTGTTTCAAATGCATTCTTTTATTTGTACTTGGGTTTATATTTACCTTTTTTGTACTTGTAATTTATTTATGTTTTTATTTATATATATTCACATTTATATTTCTTTTTAAATTGTATTTATATTTGCATTTAAATTATATTTATATTTCTACTAAAATTATCTTTCTTCTATTTAAATTGTATTTATATTTGCGTTTAAATTATATTTACATTTCTATTATTTAATTAAATTTATATTTCTATTATTTAGTTTTATTTATACTTCTATTTAAATTATATTTATACTTCTATTTAAATTATATTTGTATTTCTATTTAAATTATATTTATATTTGCATTTCAATTACATTTAAATTTGCACTTAAATTATATTAATATGCTTATTTATATTATATTTTATTTATATTTAAATTGTATTTATGTTCGCATTTAAATTATGCGTTTAATTTCTTTTTGTGCAAAATAAATAAATTAATTTGAATTTATTTTTTATAATAAATTAATTAAATGCCTTTCTTCTTCAGGATCCCCCAAGAAAAGCCACTGTTACTTCACCCGATTCGCGCGAAAGGTAATGCATGCATGCATGCATGCATGCATGCATGCATGCATGCATGCATGCATGCATGCATGCGCTGCATGCAGTGCGTGCATGCATGCAGTCTTCGGGGCTTTCATGGTTTGCACGCATGTGGGCTTTGGGGCTTTCTTGGTGGCTAGGCGCATGCGTGCCGCGTTTGGGGCTGTTCTATATATGCATGCAGTTCGCATGCATGCATGCAGCTTGGGGGTTCGCTTGCTTCTGTTGTTGTTGCCTTCTCGCTTGTTTTAGGGTTTAGGGTTTAGGGTTTAGGGTTTAGGGTTTTGCTGCTGCTTCGAAGGTGGGATTTTGCCCTAAAGATCGTGGGCTTTAAGCCTTTTGCAAATGTGCAGCTCCCCCGTTTCTTCCTTCCCCAAATCATGTGCGCTCAAACCCTAAACCCTAAACCCTAAACCCTAAACCCTAGCCTGTTGGTAGCCAGCTGCCAACGTCCCGACTTGCTGCTGCTGCTGCTCCTGCTATACAACTGCTGCTGCTGCTGCTGCTGCTGCTGCTACTACTGCTACAACTGCTCTTCCCACTGCTGCTGCTTTTTCTGCTGCTGTTGCTGCTGCTGCTGCTACTCCTGCTACTACTGCTGTTGCTACTGCTGCTGTTTTTCCTGCTGCTGTTGCTGCTGCTGTTGCTGCTGCTGCTGCTGCTGCTACTACTACTGCTCTCTACCGCTGCTGTTTTTTCTGCTGCTGTCGCTGCTGCTCCTGCTGCTGCCGCCGCCACTCCTGCTGCTGCCGCTCCTACTGCTGCTGCTGCTGCTGCTGCTGCTGCTGCTGCTGCTGCTGCTGCAGCTACGGGTTTGTGTCAGAAGAGGCTGGGGAGTTGAAGCGGGAAAAGCTTTTGGGCAGCGCCCGAGCAGCTTTGGGGCTGCTGCATTCTCAGAAAGAAAGCAAAGTTTCTAGACGCGAAAGTTCGCAATCTGGCAGCAAATAAAATCCATTTTAATCTTTTTTTCCTTTTTTTTTCCTTTTCTTCTCTTTTGCTGCTGCTCTCCCTCACCCCTTTGCTGCTGCTGCTCTCGCTGCTGCTCACCGGCCAAACGGCAGCTCCCCGGTGTACGTACACCCCGCACTGCGGCTGCTGCTGCTGCAGCTCGCTAATTTTCCTTCTTTGTTTCTCCCTTGAAATTGCTTCGAGCTCTTATGAATTATGAGAAGAGATTTTCAGTCAGGCTGGGGTTTGCGGACTGCGCTAGCAGCAGAACTCGGCGAGGGTTTAGGGTTTAGGGTTTAGGGTTTAGGGTTTAGGGTTTAGGGTTTCGGCGGTGCCACAGCATAGCGATAGCTGCCCAGCTGCTTCTTTAGGAGCTTTCCAGCCTGTCTCTACACTTCAGGTGCCGAGCTAGGGTTTGGAGGGTTTAGGGTTTAGGGTTAAGGGTTTAGGGTTTAGGGTTTAGGGTTTAGGTCATGACTTATCCTCTCTACGCCCAATCCGCGAGCACCTTGGGGGCCCCTCTGGGGCCCCCTGGGGGCCCCTTTTGGGCCCTTTGGGGGCCCCACTGGGGCCCCTTGGGGGCCCCTCTTGGGAACTTTGGGGGCCCCTTTTGGGTTCTTTGGGGGCCCCCCGTGGGGCCCCCGAAGTACCCAAAGAAGGGCCTTTTGGTGTGTGTGCGGGTGTACGTACAGCTGAATTTGGATTGCGGAAAAGGCGGTGCTGCAGCAGGAGCTGCGGATACACCTGAGTGGCTGGTTTGCTGCAGCAGCAGAACTGGGGGTTTGTTAATTGATTTAAAAAGCTAAATGGAGAGTTTTAATTATTTAAAAGTCAATTTTGAATTATTAAAAACTGGAAATGTCTTCTAATCCCGCGGGCCTCCGCGGCTGCTGCTCAGTCAGCTGCTGCATGCGCAGCAGCAGCCGCGCAGGCAACAGCAGCAGCAGCAGCAGCAGCAGCAGCAGCGGCAGTCTGAGGTTCTTTCGCGCGATCTCGTTTGCAAAAGCTGAAATTGATAATTTCTGTAGAGTTTGGAGTCTGGGGCTTCCGGGGGAGCCTCGAGAAGCAGCAATTAGCTGCGGATTGCGACGGAGCGGCTGCTGCTGCTGCTGCTGCTGCTGCTGCTGCAGCAATGACTGCTGCTGCTTGCCCTGCTGCTGCGCTGCTGCGCCGCAGCCTTCCCAGGCTGCACTTCTCCATTGCGCCGCTGCAGTCCTTCAGCCCGACGAACCCGCAGTTCCACCCGCCGGGCGCGGACTGCGGCGCGAAGCGGCCCTGGCAGGGGATGGATATGCGCAAAATTAACTCTCCCAAGTACATTAGTCACAAAATAAAAAGAGTTCCGATGACTTCTGGTGCGCAAAAAGTCCAAAAAGACTCCAGATCGCCTCCGATCGGCCTCTGTGCAGAAACTTGAATTTCGGAAACTTGAATTTTTGAGGTGTACAGACACCTCAAAAATTCAAGTTTCCGCGCGCGCCCGCCCGATCTTCTCACTTTATTTCTTTTTTATCTTTTTTTATGTCTTTTTTCGCATTTTTTTTGCATTTTCCTCTTTAATTTGCTTTTCCGCAGGATATCAGTACTTGAACTTCACGACTCCGTCGATATACGCGCCGACGCAGGCGGACATCGCGGTCTTCTTCGACACTGAAAACTGCTACAAAGTCTACACCCCCAAGCAGCTCTTTCTCGCCGCCTGGCCCCAACTTCGTTTTCTCCTTATGTGTCTTTTGGCAGTTTCTTTTCCCTCAGTCCCAATTCTCCTTTTCGTGCTTTACATGAACAGGTTCGAACCCATGGAACAGGTCATGGACCGCGACGAGTACTGGCGCCACTTCAAGTACGCTAGCCTTTAGGGTTTAGGGTTTAGGGTTTAGGGTTTAGGGTTTAGGGTTTGGGGTTTCGGGGCGCGGAGTTCGTTTCTGTTCAACGCAGCCGACCACCGCACAAACCCTCGACCCAACAGGCCAACTAAATGATCAAATAAATGAATTTAATTAATTAATTAATTAAATTATTTATTTATTTATTTATTTATTTATTTATTTATTTATTTATTTATTTATTTATTCAGGTGGCACTACTTTGGCCCCGACCTGGACCACCACGCCTACACGCAATACCTCGAGGCCCGCAGAGCCAAAAAGTGGAGGGGCGTCGACGTCGACCCCGAAGACTATATTCCCCCTCAGTACAAAAACCTCTAAACCCACAAAGGGGCCCCCAGGGGCCCCCAAGGGTTGCTAGGGGGCCCCCAGGGGGCCCCCTAGGGTTGCTAGGGGGCCCCCAAGGGTTGCTAGGGGGCCCCCAGGGGGCCCCCAAGGGTTCTCTATGGGAGCCCCCAAGGGTTCTCTATGGGGGCCCCCAAGGGTTCTCTATGGAGGCCCCCAAGGGTTCGCTAGGGGGCCCCGAAGGGGTCGCTGGGGGGCCCCCAAGGGTTCGCTAGGGGGGCCCCAAAGGGTTTGTAGGGGGCCCTCAGGGGGCCCCTAGGGGGGTCCTCAAGGGGGTTGTAGGGATTCCCAAAGGGTCCGTAGGGGGCCCCCTGGGGGCCCCAAGGGGGCCCCCGGGGGTCTGCAGGGGGCCCTCTTGGGGCCCCTAGGGGGCCCCAGGGGGCCCCCTGGGGGGGTCCCAGGGTCTTGCAGGGGGCCCTTAGTTCCCGAAGGGGAAAGGGGGCCCTGTGGTGCTGCCTTAGGGGCCCCCAGCTCCTTTGGGGGGCCCCCAGTTCCTTCGGGGGCCCCCAGTTCCTTTGGGGGGCCCCTTAGAGCTGCAAGGGGGGCCCCCGTTCCTTTGGGGGGCCCCCAGTTCCCTTAGGGGGCCCCTCAGTGCTGCTCCAGGGGCCCCTAGTTCGCCCAGGGGGCCTTTGCTTCCCAGAATGGGGGCCCCTAGGGGGGCCCCTAGGGGGCCCCCTAGGCCCCTTGGGGGCCCCTAGGGGCCCCCAGGGGGCCCCAGGGGTATGGAAAGGACTCTGGGGTCCTTAGGGGGCCCCCAAGGGGCCCCAGGGGTATGGAAGAAACTATGGGGGCCCCTAGGGGGCCCCCGGGGGCCCCCAGGGGGCCCCCTAGGGTATAAGAGGAGACGGGAGATGGGTGTGTTACTGTGGGGGTATTTGGGTGGCGTTTGTGTGCTGGGTTGTAAACCCTAAACCCTAAACCCTAAACCCTAAACCCTCTCGCGTGGCCTTCTGGGGCGGAAGGCGGGGCGAAGAGTGCAGCAGGAAATTTTGCTGCTGCTGCTTTGTGGAGGTTTTGGAACTCTAAACCCTAGCAGCAAATGCAAGAAGTCCGACCTAAACCCTAAACCCTAGATTGAGGCGGACTAAACCCTAAACCCTAAACCCTAAGCAGATCTCTGAGTGACTGGCTGACGGGCTGTCCAGGCTGCTTCAGGGCCTGCTGCTGCTGCTGCTGCTGCTGCTGCTGCTGCTGCTGCTGCTGTGGTAGCAAAGTTAGTGCAGCAAAACCCTAAACCCTCGAAAAGCTATGGGCCTGCGCTGCCTCTTGGGACTAGGGTTTAGGGTTTAGGGTTTAGGGTTTAGGGTTTGGCGTGGGTTTGTCAGTCGTAAGGCATGAGTATGTCATTTGCAAACCACCACAATACATTTTGCTGCAGATCCTGCCTTTCTTTTTCCTGCTGCAGCACAGCAGCAGCATCCCGGGCTCGCTCTTCCCGTTCTGCTGCTGCTGCTGCTGCTGCTGCTGCTGCTGCTGCTGCTGCTGTGTCAGGGTCACATGCGTCTCTACTCTGCACGCAAGACGGTCCATGGTCTGCAGCAGCTGCAGCAGCAGCAGCAGCTGCTGCTGCTGCAGCAGCTGCAGGAGCATCAGCACGCAAGGACGCAGTTCTTGCTGCTGCTGCTGCTGCTCCGGTTGCAGCAGCAGCAGCAGCTGCTGCTGCTCCTTCAGCTTGAGCTGCTGTGGGGCCCGCAGGCGCTGCGTCCTTTGTTTGCGCGGCAGAGCTGCTGCTGCTGCTTGCTGCTGCCAGCATGCTGCTGCTGCCGCTGCTGCTGCTGCTTGCTGCTGCCAGCCTGCTGCTGCTGCCGCTTCTCCGCAGCAGCAGCAGCCTCCTCTTGTCAAGGAGGAATTTAACTGCAGCAGCAGCAGCAGCAAAAGTGGGGGCTGAGGCGCTGCGGCGAATGGGCGGCGCTGCTGCGGTGTCTGTACACCTCAAGCTGCTGCTGCTGCTGCTGCACAAGGCCAGCCGCTGCCGCAGCGACCGCCCCGCTAAGGGGTGGCTTCTGCTGCTGCTGCTGCTGCTGCAGCTGCTGCAGCTGCTGCTGCATCTGCTGCTGTTGCTGCTGCTGCCGGTTCTGGGCGTGCCGCTCGTGCTGCTGCTGTCGCTCGTGTTGCTGTTGGAAGGCGCCGGCGCTGCTGCTGATGTAGCTGCTGCTGCTGCTGCTGCTGCTGCTGCTGCTTTTGTGTTTGCTGCACTTCTCCTTTTCTGCCTCCGGGCCTCCCGCGAGAGGTGCAGCAGCTCCATCTGCAGCGCAACAATTCCCGGTGTCTGCACAGCTGCTTGCTGCTCCTTCTGCCTTGCTGCTGCTGCTGCTGCTGCTGCAGCAGCAGCAGCAGCAGCAGCAGCAGCAGCATCTTTGTCTCTGTCGCGGCTGCCGCCAACCACCCCAAGCAGACGCGAACTAAACGCCGTCGCTAGGTCCCGCATAAACGAGAAGCTTCTTTGCTGCTGCTGCTGCTGCTGCTGCTGCTGCTGCTGCTGCTGCCGCTCTGCTGCTGCTGCTAAAACTCGTTGCTGCTGAGTGCCTTTCCAGAGGCCTGTGGCAGCGCAGCAGCAGACAACAGCAAAATTGCTTTTGAAAGAAAATGCGAAGTGGAAATTAATAACAGCAGCAGCAGCAGCAGCAGCAGCAGCAGCAGCAGCAAATCAGATGCAGACAAGAAAATGAGAACCCACCAGAAGCAGCAGACTGGTCCTCCTGCAAAAAGCCCCTCATCACCTCCTCCCTGAAAACGCAGCAGCAGCAGCAGCAGCAGCTAAAGCAACAACAACAGCAGCAGCAGCAGCAGCAGCAGCAGCTAAAGCAACAGCAGCAGCAGCAGCAGACGCAGCAAAAGCAAAACAGCAGCAGCAGCAACAGCAGGAGCCCAAAGGAGAAAAAGCTGCAGTAGCCGCAACAGCAATATTGGCTCCAACAGCAGCTGCAGAAGCAGCAGCAGCAGCAGCAGCAGCAGCTGCTGCTGCTGGCTGCTGCTGCTGCAGCAAAACCCAGGGAGGAGACTGCAGCTTACGCGGTTCTCTCGCGCCCTTGTCTATCCCTTGCGGCGGGAAAGAAGGCGCCCGCAGCAGCAAGCATTTCCTGCTGCTGCTGCTGCTGCAGCTGCTGCTGCAGCTGCTGCTGCTGCTGCTGCTGCTGCTGCTGGGCTGCAAAGGGGGGCTGGGATCGAACACGATCCCGATCCCCATCTTCCGATCCCTCCAAAGTCAACTCCGCCCAGTCCTCTTCTGCTTCCGACTCGCTGCTGCCTTCACTCGAAGTTTCTATTATCAAAGGCAGCAAACTGCTGCTGCTGCTGCTGCTGCTGCTGCTGCTGCTGCGGCTGCTGCTGCTGCGCTCAATGTCCCCCACCGCCCGCAGCACCCCCACGCCCTCCTCGAGGCCCCCCTCCAAAGGGTACAAGTGGGCCTCCAAGGGGGCCCCCTACGGGGGCCAGCTGGGGGCCCCAGGGGGGCCCCTGTCGAGGAGCAGCAGTGGAAGGAGGGTCTGTTGCTGCTGCTGCTGCATGGCGCAGCAGCTCCTGCATTGCCTTGATGCTGGGGTGCTGCAGCAGCTGCTGCTGCTGCTGCTGCTGCTGCTGCTGCAGGCGGAGCAGCTGCTGCTGCTCTTGACGCGGCGGGTCCGCAGCGCGGTAGGCGTACTGCTGCTGCTGCTGCTGCTGCTGCTGCTGCTGCTGCTGCTGCTTAAATGCGTGGATGCCTCTTGGTCTGTCTGCTGCTGCAGCAAGCGGCTGGGCGGCGGTGGGCAGGGGCCAAAGGGGGGGGGCAGCAGCAGCAGCATCGGACATTGCCATCATGTTTTTTCGTTCTTTTTTTGAATAATGGAATTAATTTGCAAATTAATTCATTTTAATTCATTTTAATTCTTTTTTGGCGAAGAAGATTCGCAAGAAGCCGCCATTGGACGCCGCAGCCGCGCAGGGGCCCCTGCGGCGGCGCAGCAGTCAGTGTGCCGCCGCAGCCCGCGCAGCAAGAAGCCGCTCTTTTTTCGCCTTTTTCGTTTATTTTTAAAGAAATAAACAAATAAAAGAACAAAAAGAAAAAGAAAAGACACAAAACGCGCGAAAAAACAAAAGAAATGAACCGCTGGTCGCTCCGGGGGCCCCGAGAGCCGCCGCGCACTCACTCTTCAGGTGTCACTACACCTCAGCCGCCGCCACTTCTTCTTCTCAATTCTTTTATTTATTTTTATTTATTTTTATTTATTTTCATTTTTATTTATATTTATTTATTTTAATTCTTTTTAAAACTTCAAAGCAGCTTTTTCCCAAAGTCTCGTCATCAGGGGCCCCGCCGAAGGTACTTCAAGTGCTCTCATTTTCGCTGTGCTCTTGTCTATTGTTTTCCTTTTCTCCTCGTTTTGCTAAACCCTAAACCCTAAACCCTAAACCCTAAACCCTAAACCCTAAACCCTAAACTCCGAGCCAAAAGCATGAATGTCTGCTGGCTTCGCAAGAAACAAATTCAAGATTCTAAATTTAAAATGGTTTTTATTTTCAGAAATGTTTATAAATGGGTTTAAATGCATTTTAAACTCAACTTCAATTTAAATTTAAATTCATTTCAAATTTAAATTCATTTTAAATTTAAATTCATTTCAAATTTAAATTCATTTCAAATTTAAATTCATTTCAAATTTAAATTCATTTCAAATTTAAAATAGTTTAAATCCACAAAAGAAAACAAATTCAAAAGAAAAACATTTCTTCAAATTTGTTTTTAGTTGCACTTGCATGCATCCTATATTTAAATATATCTATAAATATATAAATAGATAAATAGATAAATATATAAATATATAAATATATAAATATATAAATACATAAATATATAAATATATAAATATATAAATATATAAATATATATAAATATATATAAATATATAAATACATAAATATATAAATATATAAAAATAAAACTGTAAGTATATATATGAATATATATGTACATAAATATATATATGAATATATAAATATATGAACATATAAGTATATACATTAATATACATAATATAATATAATATTTATATTAATATCTTACATTCAAGGAATTAAGTATATGTGTATATACATATAAATAAATATAAATATAAATATAAATACAAATATAAATAAATATAAATACAAATATAAATAAATATAAATATAAATATAAATAAATAAACATATAGATATAACTAAATATGAATATAAATAAATATAAATATAAATAAATATAAATATAAATAACTGCAAATGGAAATAAAAACAAATAAATAAATACATATTCAGCTGTACAGACACTGCCAACTCGATTTGCTGCTGCGCTGCTGCTGCGCTGCTGCTGCGCTGCTGCTGCGCTGCTGCTGCTCTCTGGCCACACAACTTCTATTCAAGCTACAGCTAGCTGTAGCTAGCTACAGCTAGCCGCAGCTAGCTACAGCTAGCTACAGCTAGCCACAGCTAGCCACAGCTAGCTGCAGCTATCCACAGCTGGCCACAGCTAGCCACAGCTAGCCACAGCTAGCTACAGCTAAACACAGCTAGCCACAGCTAACCACAGCTAGCTACAACTAGTCACAGCTAGCCACAGCTATTCACAGCTAGCTGTAGCTAGCCACAGCCACCTCCGGCTAGCCACAGGTACTCACAGCTAGTTGCTAGCTGCAGCTAGCTGTAGCTAGCCACAGGCAGCCGCAGCCAGCCACAGCTAGCCACAGCTAGCCACAGCTAGCCACAGCTAGCCACAGCTAGCCACAGCTAGCCGCAGCTAGCTACAGCTAGCCACGGCTAGCCACAGCCAGCTGTTTGCTGCTGGTGGGGCTGCATGAGTGGCATGTGCATGCGAAGTTTGGAAAAGAGGAAACTGGGGATTTATAAAATGCAAAACAAAGAAATTAAAAGTTTATTAAATGAAAAAGACAAAATAAATGATTTATTAAATGAAAAAGAAGGAAAATGAAAATGATTTGGCGAAGTGAAAGACAGACATGATTTCGAAGCTGCCTAGACACCCCGCGCGGTCGATGGTCACCGCTGCAGCGGCGGGGAGTTTTTGGAATTGTTTTAGGATTTCTTTTTGCGAAAAGAAATTAAATTGAATTAAATAAATTAAATTAAATAATTTAAATTAAATTAAATTAAATTAAATTAAACATTTAAAGCGCGTTTGACGGCAGGCGCCGCAGCAGAGTGGTCTGGTCGCCTGCTGCTGTCTGCTGCTGCTGCTGCTGCTGCTGCTGCTGCTGCTGCTGCTGCTGGGGGCGCTGCTGCTGCTGGGGGTGCTGCTGCTGGGGGTGCGGGTGGGGGGCGTGGTGCGGGTGCTCGTGGGGGGCTTGGGGTGGTGCTGGTGCTGGTGCTGCTACTGCTGACATGCTGCTGCTGCTGCTGCTGCTGCTGCTGCTGCTGCTGCTGCTCGCTTGCGCAGAGATGCATGCAGCACCGCAAGAACTTTCCCTCCGACTCGGAGCGCGTCGCCCATTTGATGTCGCAGCCAATGGTGAGCACTTCAAGTTTTCAACTTTTTGTTTTTTTTCAAAATGCAACAATTTGAAATTAAATTAACTTTTTGTTTTTTCAAAATGCAATAATTTGAAAATAAATCAACTTTTTGTTTTTTCAAAGTGCAGCAATTTGGAATTATTTCAACCTTTTGTTTTGTTTCAAAGTGCACAATTTGCAGTTTAAAACAAATCTTTGTTTGTTTCAAAGTGCAGCAATTTGCAATTAAATTCAGTTTTCTGTTTTATTTCCAAATGCAGCACTTTGAAATTAAAGTCATTTGCTTTTGGATTTGTTCCAAGTTGGTCTGCATCAATTTGAAATGGAACTGAAGTGCCCAGCAGAGCCCTTTCAGTTTCTCGCTGCTACTACTACTACTACTACTGCTGCTGCTGCTGCTGCTGCTGCTGCTGCTGCTGCTGCTGCTGCTGCTGCAGAGGGGCCCGAAGGCGTGCGAAATGGAGTTGACGATGCACGGGAACTGCGTGGCAATTCAACTTGAGCGGGCGCAGAAACTTGGAGAGAAGTACTGGACTCAAGGGGGCGAAGACCGCTGTTTGGTGACTCGTGCAAACTACGAAGTGAGTTGTTGAAAAGTCCCGAAAAGTCCCGAAAAAAAGTGGAAAGCGAGCTTAAAATGAAGCAACAAGTTCCGAAAAGTCGAAATTCGCTTTCAAAATTCAAAAATAATCCTTTTTTCCACTGAGATCGCGAAGATCGCAAAGCTTTCCACTTCGAGTTCAAGTTCCGGCGTTTCCTCTTCGCAGTTGCCAAAGATATTCAAAATGCGTTCAAAATGCATTCAAAATGCATTTAAATTTATTTAAATGCATTTAAATGCATTTAAATGCATTTAAATTGTATTTTAAAAGTGTTTTAAAGGCATTTAAAATGACTTTAGTGGAATTTGAATTTTGCAAAATTGCAAAATAAAAGAAGTGACGGAAAACTCGAGGCCACTTTTCGCATGCGCGCAGCGGTGTATGTACGGCACGAAAATTGGGCTGACGGACCACTGGGGCGGCGAGCGGCTGAGTCAGCAGTTGGAGAAAAATATATCGCATTTGCAGGTGCGTTTGGACCACAAGTAGTCTTTTTTTTCCAATTTTCATTTCTCAATGCATTTATTTCAACAAGTTCCCGCTGTTGGCCTTTTTTTGCTTCCTTTTGACCCTTTTTTCGCTCCTGGCGACTCAAGTTCTGACGAGCAGCAGAACGCATGCATGCAGCAGCAGCAGCAGCAGCAGCAGCAGCAAACAGCAGCAGCAGCTCCAGTTTCTTCGAGAAAGTCGACAGCAAATAGAATTTAAAAGCCAAAAGTTGATTTAGCAAACAAAATAGACTTTCTAGACTTTCTGAAAGCAAAGAAAAGACAAAAACCTGCATTGCATGCAACTTCAAACTCCGGCGTTTTCTTCAAACACTTTCCTCATTAATTTACTCCATTAGCAATTGATTAAGATGTTAATAAAATATATTTGAAGTCTATTTGAGACACACTTAAGATATATTTAAAATATATTTGAAACGAACTTGAAATATATTTAAATGGAATTTGAATTCGAATGTTTCAAATTTTATTTTTTCTTCGGACTTTAAAAGATAAAACTGAGTTCTAGCTTCGGAGGGAAGCTGCTGCTCATTTGCTGCTGCTGCACAGCAAACAAGCAGCAGCAAAACTGTCCAACAACAACCCCACGCCTCTGCATGCAGCAGCATGCATGCAGCAGCATGCATGCAGCAGCATGCATGCAGCAGCATGCATGCAGCAGCATGCATGCAGCAGCAGCAAGCTGCACGCATGCAGCAGCAGCAGCAGCAGCAGCAGCAGGCTGCATGCGTGCTGCTGCACGCACGCAGCAGCAGCAAGCTGCACGCGCGCTGCAGCACGCATGCAGTAGCAGCAGCAGCAAGCTGCACGCGCGCTGCAGCACGCATGCAGCAGCAGCAGCAGCAGCAGCAGCAGGCTGCATGCGTGCTGCTGCATGCAAAGGCGCAGCTGCTGGGGCCGCGTGCATTGTGGCCATGCGTGGGGCTTTGCGGGGATTTGCTAAAAAGAAGAAAAGAAAAGAAATAAAAAGAAATAAAAAGCACTTCGGACAAGCCTCGCGCAGCTGCGGTGTACGTACAGCCGGGCTGTACGTACAGCTGGGGTGTAGGTACAGCTGGGGTGTCTGCAGAGCTGGGGTGTACGTACACCCCAGCTGCACGTACAGCTGGGGTGTCTGTACAGCTGGGGTGTCTGTACAGCTGGGGTGTCTGTACAGCTGGGGTGTCTGTACAGCTGGGCTGTCTGCACAGCTGGGGTGTCTGTACAGCTGAGGTGTACGTACACCGCAGCTGCAGGTACAGCTGAGGTGTCTGTACAGCTGAGGTGTCTGTACAGCTGGGGGGCGTCAGAAGAAGAAGAAGGGAAAGCCGCGGCAGGCGAGCAGCAGCGCGAGGACAGCAGCAAAAAGCCAAAAGTTTGCATGCAAGTCTTGGAGAAACAAAAAGCGAGAAAGTGGAGAAGAGGGGCCCGCGCTGCAGCACAAAGCATGCAGGGTTTAGGGTTTAGGGTTTAGGGTTTAGGGTTTGGGGCTTGCGCCTTCCGGCCTCTTGCACGCGCCCCCGCGCGACGCCGAGGGTTTAGGGTTTAGGGTTTAGGGTTTAGGGTTTGCAAACCTCAAATTCAAAATGTTCATCCAACGGGCATTCACCAGCAGTTTGGACACGCCCAGCAATCGATCCAGTGTATCTACAACGCAGCAAACCAAACCCTAAACCCTAAACCCTAAACCCTAAACCCTAAACCCTGAAACCCAGAAACGAGCTACAACGCCCTGCAGCCAGCTTGACAGCTTAACCCGATGCGTGCGCCTTCGACCGTAAACCCTAAACCCTAAACCCTACACCCCAAATCCTAAACCCTAAACCCTAAACCCTAAACCCTAAACCCTAAACCCTAAACCCTAAACCCTAGGCTCACCGACAGAGAGAAACCACTGCCACCTCACAACGGGGCTGGGCGAAACAACAACTTTGCAGAAGAAAAAAGACAAGGCAGCAATCTCGTCCACCGTCACCTGCGTAAACACAAACCCTAAACCCTAAACCCTAAACCCTAAACCCTAAACCCTAAACCCTAAACTTTAAAACCCGAACGCCAAAGTAGGGTTTCACAGCTACTCGTTTTTGACGTCCATTGAGGGCGAAGAAGAGAAGACGGGCGTGCAGGGGCTGTAGCACTTCCACCCAGGGTGCCAAACCCTAAACCCTAAACCCTAAACCCTAAACCCTAAACCCTAAACCCTAAACCCTAGTGTGTCCTACGCGTTCAGAGAGGGTTGGGACCCTGCCATATTTGGACGAGAAAAGCCGCTGCGCCACCGGGCCACCCTGTGACAGCTGCCTGCAGCAGCAGCAGCAGCAGCAGCAGCAGCAGCAACAATATGGTAAAAGCTGCTGCTGCAGCAGCAGC